AGGCAATCCTTCTCCTTATCCAAGAGGGCACGGCCTCGCCCCAAAAGACTCCCGATGCCTACAATAACAAGAGTTAGTATGTAGAAAGAGAAAGTGCCTTTCAAAATGAAAAAGGAGGGAACAAATCACTCAACACGTACCATGATGTTTTGCTTCCCATCTACCCTAGACAAAGCTCGCCACTTACGTGCATCATAAGCCGAGTGAGTCGCCAACTCCCAAGCCCAATCTGGCAGATCAGGGACCTCGCACAACATCCATGAAATTGTTGCAGAAGAGGAAAGGAAGGTGCATCCACGGAACCGACCTTCACCATAATTAAAAAACTACAGAGGCGCGAGTATACCACTTACGTGTAAAATTCCATTCCTCAGGGAATGGCATGAAATCCACGGGGATAATATCAGCAATCCGTACTCGGACGAATCGGCTTATCCGCTCCCAATCTCTGTCTTCTTCATCATCAACAACGAAAGGCGTGGTCGAGCGGCATCGTAAGGTTAGCAGACCTCGATGGTTAAAAGGCCGGTACAGCCTGATAAGATGACTGACCGTGAATTCAAGCCATGCCTTCTCCGCAAAGAACCTCATCATCAACACTATCCGCCAAAATGACGGGTGAATCTGCGCCAAGGTAACCTAATATTTCGACAGAAGTCAAGCACAACCCTATCAAGGGGGACCAGTGTAAAAGGATACGTGGACATATTCAAAAACCTCGCGGCACGGTCCGTGATGCTCTCTTACGGGGAAGGTATCTGCAGTACTACCTTTTCCCCATCCACAGTCTTCCCTCACCGACTCAAGGTGTCCCTCTCCTGTCAAAGAAGTAAACTTCAAGGTATGCTCCCGTTGACCCTGAGCATCGGGAGACCTTTCTGATGAGAAATCCCCTTTCAAAGCAAAATGCCCCGTGGCGGGTCCTCCTGGCATCAGCGGAGCTCCGCCAACAAGGCGATAACCGGAGGCGGAACTCTCTCCCCCTTGCCGAATGGATCCTGATATAGCAATCATGACTATGGTAAAACTCGAGGCGTAGGAATTTGGGCAAGAGCGTCAATACTTAAATGATGGAGGACCTAGTGCGGGAAAAGAGGATAACTACTCAGAATGGCGGAATCTTTAAAAGGGAAAAGACGACCCTATATATGGAAAAAGCGGTGATGATCCGCCTGCCTCAAATGCCGATTAAAAATACTGGTCAAAGCTTAATCACTTTGGGAAGATGCGCCGGCGGGATCGCCTCGGTCACTTTGTAACCAAGCCATACACTTGACGTCGCCATATGACCAAGCCTCGAGACCAAGTCTTGAGATGGTACCCGATCTCGAGGACCTCCATCAAAAGAAGACAGGCTCCAAGAAGCCATTAATATCATTACAAGTCCTGAGATGGTACCCGATCTCGAGGACCTCCATCAAAAGAAGACAGGCTCCATGAAGCCATTAATATCATTACAAGCCCTGAGATGGTACCCGATCTCGAGAACCTCCATCGAAAGAAGACAAGCTCCAAGAAGCCATTAATATCACTGCAAGTCTCGAGATGGTACCCGATCTCGAGGACCTCTCCTAAGAAGCAATTAAGCTCTAAAATGAGCCACTCATATAAAAGCTTGACCTCGGGGTGGCACCCTACTTCGAGAATTTCAGCTATTGCGAGAACGGATCATCTACCCGATTCTCCGGACCTCGAATTACCTAAGCTCGAGCCAACTCCCGCTCAAAGGCTACTGATAAAGCCTTAGGGCTATTTTTCATCTTCAGATCAAGCTATCTCTATTCTCAGAAACCCGAGCAAACTCCCTCTCGAGGGGTATCGCGGGGTCTAAAGTGCTAAGATTTGTTCCGAAAGATCGAAACCTTACTCTTATTCGACTCAAAGTTAGGGGTCCCGACGATCCAAGTTTATCGATCCTACCCGGGATCGGTCCAAGGGCCGGCAAAAGATTCCACAAGGAATCGAATTAATAAGTCAAGAGTGGGAGAAATACTTGCACCCGGGCTCGACATTCGCACCGATCAGTAGAATCACACATTCAGAGCCTTCGCAAATGCTGGTAAAAGGAAATAAAGCATAAATCAGAGACAAATTGAGAAAACATGTTTTCCATTAATAAACAACGGTTACGAAGTCCATGAGGGGTCCTTACACAGAAACAAAGAAGCAACAAGAAAATACATAAAACGAAAGCCAAGAGCCTAATCTATCCTCGGTGGCAGTATGTTCGAGCACCGCCTCCTCGGCGGCCTCGTCTCGACCTTCCAAAATGACATCTTCAAGGGAGAAGATGAAGAAGAAGAAATTGGTGCGGAAGAAGCATAAAAAGATGAAGAAAAAGCCGTAGCTCGCCAAAGAGCAAAAGCTTTTACCAGGCCGAGGAAATCACGGCTCGGTAGAAGACTTGGCGAGCGCCAGCCCTACCAGCACGGCTACATTAAGTCCACTTCTTGGGACATTGTGCCGTGCAAGTTACAACCCTGTAGTGCCACTTCGCCACACTGAAAACAAAAGGGATGAAGTGCCACACCAGGCCGGAGTAGGGAGGTGAGCAGTGGTGTATAATCCGAACACCCTCCTGAGCAGCGGTGTAGAGTCCAAACATCTTCCTAAGTCAGAAGAAATCGGCCCCCCTATCTCATCACCTCGAGCCAACGACGACAGCAGTAACAACAATAACAACAACAACGACAGGTCAATGCGATCTCGCTCGGTAAGGGAAAGCACTGAAAAAAGGCCGTGACGCGGCTGATGGGAACGCTGCCATGTAACCTTAAGGCCGCGGGCCTCAAACATGGAGATAACAATGGATGAGGATGAAGAGAAGGAAGGCGTGGAAGGATATTGGACGGCACTTGAATGAGAAAATGGTTCCAGGAGGTTTCCATTTATAGAGGGTGGCAGTGTAACCAGCAGCCCCATTAATGTCCTTAAAAGACGTATCAGCAGGAGCAATCAATGCGTTTTTTGGGAACCGAATCAACGGCGATAATTATCGCTTTGGAGAACAAGAATCGAACGTGTATTAGAAGACACTGAAAAGATGAACCGACGGGACGCCTCAGTTATTGCAAACGCCTACGTCATAAGTATGACATCATCGCAGGAAGTTCTAAGAGATGGATATCAAAGTCGTTTCTTATCGTTCAACTCTAAGAGACACGGGGACTCTCTGTATACGATAAAATCGGAGGGTCCAATTTTTGGCCATTTCAACACCTCGTGAGCATGGTTTCCAAAGGCCCAAGACTGTGGTCGAGATTTATCCCGAGGGTCCATCGGTGTCCAACCTCGAGGCAGCGCATGTCAACGGTTTAGTAGAACAGTGGGAAGTTCCCTAGGCACACGACTAGGGCTAACAAAACCTAGAGGGCTAGCTCTAACCAGTAACAAGGCATTAAGTGGCTATACCTGCACCATATCTTTGTAATTAATGCTTTTGTACTATGTTCCCCCTCATATATGAAGGGAATCCTTGTCATTTGTAGGTATCTGATGCTCAGTACTAAATACATAAGAACATTCTCTCTACTCTCTAACATATTCTCTTGATTTTACTACTTCATTTATTGCTTATATTCATTGTGTTCTATTTATTGTTCTTCATTTATTGCTTATCATTGATCATAAAGGGCCATCATCATAGCTCTCACAACTGTTATCTCCCTCTCGACTTCCCTGAATCGGCCATCCAGCTCGACCCCGAGGCCTCACAATCAACGGCTCGAGACCCCCGATCTCCAACTATTTGGTTCGATTATCATACCGTTTCTAAGCTATAATCCGGATTTCTAACCTTTTACTTAGCATCCATTGCTTTACAACTAGCATAAAAACAAATCACGTATTTTTAGAACCTCATAATCAAATGTAATTGTTATTACCATTTTCACGGTAAACACTTGTCACTTAGTATCTATTACCTAACAACTAGCATAAAAATAGATCACATATTTTTAGAACCACAAAATCAAATCTAATTGTTAATACCATTTTAAAGGTAAACAAATATGTCGAGTTCTTACCCACCTATTCAAGTTAACTTAATGCCTATATGTCTATGGAATTAAGATTAAATGAATGCATTTATACTTCCTGTACTTCAACCAAGCAAGGCAATTAGGTGTATTTCTATCCTAATTGTGAATCCATTCCCCGATCCCCGGGTTCAAGAACTTGCTCTATTCATATCTATATGCAATCTAGAATTCTCACTTTCTAGTTCAACTCTAGATTCGTAGATAGTATTTCACCGTTAGCTACTCAGCAAAATAACTAAACACAGAATTAAATAAATAACCCAATATGATAAATCCCAACTCGTCAAATTAAACTTCAAACATCACATTCAAGTGGCACCCATGACCCAGAATATCATGGTTCTTAGCCACTCATGTTTATACAATCATCAAAAATAATGCTTTTTTTTACATAAAATCAATGAATACTAGAAAAAGAATGAAAGAGTTGATCAAATCCTTGCTCCCAAGTGTTTCGTACTTTTGTTTTCCTCTCAAAGTTTCGTCCTCCCCTCAAAATCGTGTTTTTGGTGTATTTATACCGTGTAGAAAAAAACTAGGACGAAGATGCCCTTTCCAAGCCAAAGCAGGAAACTACTCTGCGATTTCTTTTTTAATTAATTAACACTTCCGCGTCGCTGGGTGTGGCACCCCATGTCAGAGAGCCACTTGGCCTGGCACGGCGCAAGGCGCGGCGCCGCATGCGGCATGCTAGGCCATTTTTCACAGAGTCCTCCTCGCTTTCGATATTTAGCTCACGAGTTGCACCCCACTCTATTATGTACTTATTTTATGTCCAATTCATGCTTGTACCTGCCAAACAAGTCACGCAACTCCCAAACTCTAATATTCCTAAACTAAAATTATCTAAACTATTCTAAAAATAAGGAAAAAAAAAGAAAAAAGGGTTAGAAGCATTAAAAATTAGGTTGCTTCCCAACAAGCGCCTGATTTAATGTCGCGGCATGACTCAACACGTTTTCAAGCATCGGCGTCCCTCGAGGTCTTGTGACGTGCAATGTCACCACCCCAATAATGTTTTACTCTTTTCCCCTTTACCAAGAAGGTAACACATGAGCTCGTATCACGCAATTCCACCGCTCCATGAAGCCTCACACTTACCGCAAATAAAGGACCTGACCATCGAGACTTAAGCTTTCCGGGGAAAAGCTTCAAGCTTGAATTAAACAAGAGATCTTCTTGACCTGGCTCAAAATTGCGATGTTGGGTGTTCTTTTCATGCCTCCTCTTAGTCTTTTCTTTATACAATTTGGCATTTTCGTACGCGTGCAATCGAAATTCATCAAGCACGTTAAGTTGTAGCAACCTCTTCTCACCGGCTAAGTCCATATCCATACTTTGCTTTTTAATTGCCCAATAGGCTTTGTTTTCAAGTTCGACGGGCAAGTGGCACGCCTTCACATAAACCGACTTATACAGAGAAGTACCTGTGGGGGTCTTGTATATGCCCATAATGTGTCGTCTAGCATTCTGGCCCAGTCCTTCCTATTTCCTTACTGTTTTCTCCAGAATCTGCTTCACCTCTCTGTTTGAAACTTCCACTTGACCATTCGTTTTGGGTGATAGGTGGTGTCAACCTTGTGCGTAAGTCCATACTTGGCTAGAACATTATTCAACAATTTGCTACAGAAGTGAGTTCCTCCGTCACTTGTCAACACCCTTGGAGTCCCAAAGCATGTGAAGATGTGCTTTATTATAAAGTTTACCACTACCTTTGCATCATTCGTAGGAAGAGAAATGGCCTCCACTCACTTAGATACATAATCAACCACCACCAAGATTTACCTGTGACCATTAGAGTATGGGAACGGTCCCATGAAATCAATCCCCCAAACATTAAAGAGCTCTACTCTCAGAATATTTTTCAAGGGCATCTCATGCTTCTTCGTGATTGTTCCAATTTTTTGGCACCTGTCACACTTTTTAACAAAGGTGTGTGCATCCATAAACAATTTTGGCCAATAGAAACCCGATTGCAACACTTTTTGGGCACTTCTATCCCACCATGGTGACCTCCATATGGAGAAGCATGATACTCATGCAATATTGCATCATCTCCTCCTCAGGGACACACCTTCGTACCAACTAATCTGCGCACTACTTATATAGGAATGGCTCATCCCACATGTAGAGCCTCACATCATGTAGAAACCTTCTTCTTTTATCGGGTGTCAATTCTGGGGGCGTCACCCCACCAGAAATAAAATTCATATAGTTTGCATACCACGGGGCTTCACTCAAGGTGATTGCTAATAACTGCTCATCTGCAAATGCTTCTTTGATCGACCCCCCTCAGCTACATGGCTCTGATTTTCTAATCTGGACAAGTGATCAGCCACTTGATTCCCTGTCCCTTTTCTATGTTGGATCTCTAACTAAAATTCTTGCAAGAGAAGGACCCATCAAATTAGCCTTGGCTTGGCGTCTCTCTTTTTAAACAAGTACCTTATAGCTGAATGATCTATGTAGACGATGACTTCGGTTCCCACTAGATAGGATCTGAACTTGTCAAACGCCCACACCACTACAAGCAACTCATTTTCAGTGGCAGTGTAGTCAATTTGGGCTGGATTCAGAGTTTCTCTCGCGTAATAAATAGAGTGAAAAAATGTATCCCTCCTTTGACTCCAAAACAACTCCAATTGCTATGTCACTCGTATCACATATCAACTCAAATGGATGTACCCAATCCAGGGTAATGATAACTGGCGCAGTCACCAATCTTCCCTTCAACTCCTCAAATGCTTTCAGACAGGCATCATCAAACTTGAAGGTGATATCTTTCTCAAGAAGTCTACACAAAGGAAAAGAAAGTTTTGAAAAATCTTTAATGAAATGACGATAAAAACCTATATGGCCCGAGAAACTGCAAATGCCTTTGATAGATGTCGGTGGGGGTAATTATTCAATCGCCTCCACCTTTGCTTTGTCCACATGCAAACCATTTTTTCACACCTTGTGCCCCAAGACTATACCTTCTCGCACCATGAAATGGCACTTTTCCTAGTTTAGCACTAAGTTCGTCTCTTCACACCTAGCAAGCCCTTTATCAAGGTTTATTAAATAATTTTCAAAAGAACACCCAAACACAGAAGAATCGTCCATGAACACTTCTACAAATCTTTCAACCATGTCAGTATAAATAGCTATCATACACCTTTGCAAAGTAGCAGGTGCATTACATAGACCAAAGGGCACTCTCTTGAATGCATGTGTGTCATGGGGACACGTAAATATGGTCTTCTCTTGGTCCTTTAGGGCTATAGCAATCTGATTATACCCCCCGAATAGCCATCTAGGAAACAGTAGTATTCCTTTCCAGCTAATCTATCAAGCATTTGGTCAATAAAGTGGAGGGGAAAGTGGTCCTTCCGGGTGGCATTGTTTAACTTTCTATAATCTATGCAAATTCTCCACCCAGTAATCAAGTAATTATTTTCATTAACCACTACAGTCATCCACCCTTTCTTAGGCACACATTGCACGGGGCTTACCCATTTTCTATTAGGGATTGGAAAGACAATACCTGCATCAAGCCACTTAATCACTTCTTTACTTACCACCTCTTTCATGATTGGATTTAGGCGACGTTGTTGCTCTACTCTCGGCTTGTGCCCTTCCTCCATAAGGATTTTATGCATGCAGAAGGCTGGATTAATGCCTCAAATGTCAGACATCGTCCACCCAATTGATCGTTTGTGCTCACGTAGCACTCTCAACAACTTTTCTTCCTGCAATTTAGACAAGTCAGAAGAAACAATAACAGGTAAAGTGTCAGAACCACCCAAATAAGTATATTGAAGGTGAGGGGCAAGGGTTTAAGTTCATATTTTGGAGCTTATTCAATCAACAGCTTTGGAGGAGGCCTATTTAGCCTATTTAGGAGCTCAAAGGGGTTTGATCCCTACGTGTAAGCATGTGATGCATCTAGGATATGCATTATCTCCTCAACCTCATCATAAATCTCCAAGCTATCAAAAAACATGAATGCTTTCTCTAGGGAATCGTCTAGATATACACTCGTGTCAAGAAGTTGCTCGTCCACCTCCACAACAGATATCATAGAGAGCTCCTCATAATGGTAGGAAGTTGTATTGCCTTGTAGACATTAAAAACTGCTTCCTCGTTGTCCACCCTCATAATCATTTTTCCCTCTCTCACTTTGATAACTGCATCACATGTAGCCAAGAGAGGTCGTACCAATATGATTTAAACTTGGTCATCACCTTATAATCAAGGATAATGAAGTCCGATGGGAAGATGAATTTCCCAATTTGTAGCAACACATCTTCAATCACTCCTTCAAGGTAGGATATGGACCTATCAGCTAGTTGCAACATCACAGTTGTTTGTCTTGGAGCTCCCAGACCCGATTGCTTGAACAAAGACAAGGGCGTTAGATTTATGCTTGCCCCCAAATCACAAAGAGCACGCCCAACATCGATATTACCAATTTGCACAGGGATGGTATGGGCGGCCAGGATCCATAAGCTTTTGAGTAAGCTTGTTCTGGACTCTTGAAGTACACTCCTGGGTAAGTGTGACTGTCTCGAATTCAGTCAATCTCCTCTTGTGAGCCACTATATCCTTGATGTACTTAGCATACTTTGGAATTTTGTGAAGTACATCTACCAATGGAATATTCAATTGAACGTGGCTTAGTGTAGATAGAAATTTGTTGAACATGCAATCATCATTCTTCTTTTGCAATCATTGGGGGAAAGATGGTTGTGGCCTTGCAACATTTACTGGCTCTGAACTTGCATCATCTTTCTTTGACTTATGTGTTTCTTTAGGAATCAATTGCCCTTCAGGTATAGGCTTATCCTTTCTCTTATTTGGAACTTCCTCTAATTCCCTCCCGTTTCTGAGTGTAACTGCATTAACTTGAGTGTTCTTATCTGTATCACTAGAAAGAGCGCATGCAGGCCTAGTATTTTGATTCGATGCTGACTGCCTCATTTGCCACTCAAGATTTCTGAAGTCGGTCCTGAGTTGTTGATTGTCGAGTAACAACTTCTTCAAGAAGTCAGCCGTACTCTTCCATTTGTTGGGGTGGCTTCTAAGGTTAATTAAAATTTCCTTGGGGCCTATAATGATTATGAGTCGGCTGATTTCCACCCCATGAGAAGTTAGGGTGATTCTTCCAATTTAATTTGTAAGTGTTCCCATAATGTGCAAGTTAGTTCGTCGAACCCCTGCTCTGTTGCCCCACATAGTAGATAGATTCAGGATTCGTGGGGCACATGTCACTCGTGTGACTGTCACCACATAGTTCGCAGCAAGTACACATTTGTTGTACATGTTGCATCTGCTGTGCTTGGTGCATTGTCATTCTATTCATCTGATATGCCATTTTTCTATTGTTTACCTTGAAAATGGTAATAACAATTAGATTTGATTTTGTGGTTCTAAAAATATGTGATATATTTTTATGCTAGTTGTTTAGGCAATAGCCGCTAAGTGAATGATTAGAAAATAGAATAAGAGCTTTTATATAGCTTGATAATCAAGCCGAATAATTGGAAATCGAGGCCTCGAGCCAGCACATGCGGGGCCTCGAGGTTGAGTTGGATGCCTAGCTATGGGAGGCCGATGGAGAACTAACAGTTATGAGAGTTGTGATTGTGGCTCTTTATGGCCAATAATGAGCAATAAATGAAGAACAATTAATGAAATATAACAAATGTAAGTAAAGCAATAAACGTGAGCAATAAAACCAAATAGAGAGTATGTTTGAGTTAGAGAGCAGAAAGAATGTTCTTGTATTGAATGAAGTGTGTTGTATTTACAAAATGACAAGGATCTCCTTTATAGATGAGGAGAATCCTAATACGGTACGAGTGCATTTATTACAAAGATATGAGGTTGGTACAGCTATTCAATGCCACCGTACGGGCCTGAGCTAGCTTATAGGCTAGGTCAGCTCTAATCATGTCCTTGGGATCTTCCCACTAGCCTGTCATAACTGTTGCTTCATACTACCTCGGGGCCGATCGTCGTAAACCCTTGGGGTGAACTCCGATCCTTTCGGGGGCGGCCCTTACAAGGTGCCCTAATAATCATAAAATCAAGCCCTCTCATTTTACCGTATACAGATAGTCCCCGCGTTTCTTAGATTAGAATGATAAAAAATGGCTTTGACACCGATCTCCTCGAGCCTCTTATGATGACGTCATGCTTATGACGTTAGCTTTTGCGATAACTGAGGCGTCCCATCGGTACGTCTTTCATTCAATGCAGCGCTATTTTATATCGTCATGACCATGATAGCACCGACGATCTGTCTCCCAAAGGCATTGATTGGGCCTATTGATACGTTTCTCATAAAGGGC